TATATATATATATATATATATATATATATATATATATATATATATATATATATCTTGCAATAAACAGATATATAAAGGTCTTGCAATTCAAGGGTTTTAAAATAAAAAAGTGAAACCAGTGAACACATTATATGAAAAACTAAAACATCTTTTTAATGATACAAGACTCAAATGTGAAACATGCACAAGCAGTCAGTTTTCAGACAAAACATAAACCAATCCAATTGTTACTTTACAAAAATCTATTTAATAACTCCTATAACATCATCTAGATAGAGCCATGCAACAGTCACCCACATTGCCAGGATGTTATTAAAGCGGTCTTACCCACGGGGGTCCTGGTCTGACCGCAGGGCTCCAGAAAGCTGGTCTGCTGCTCAGTGAAGCCCTCACAGGACGCAGAGCTGGTCAGACTGAGGCCCGGAGGAAGAACCGGACTGTGGACCAGACCTGCCAGTGTGGGGAAACGAGCCAGAACCATCCGCCTAGAGAAGCCCAGCCAAACACACATGCACACACACACAGCAAACCTTCAGCCTGAGCATGGTATTTGCTTTTAGGGCTGGGTATTGATTAAGCTCTCAAATTTGATTTAGTGAATATAGATTTAACACAATATTTCTAAATATAAGCATTAAAATTTAAAACAGGACAGAAGTAGTAGAAATATAGAAAATATAAAAGGGGTTGAAGAAAAAACAGTGGGATTCCCAATTTATACAAAGAAAAAACATGTGTAAACATACATAAATGATAAAATATATCAAATAAATTCTTCATATTTTAATAAAATATTGATTTTATGAAACATTCTTTCAAAGAGCACTAATTATTATTATTTTTTGTTATGTTGTGCTTTGACAGTGTATTATTAAGCTGCTGTTACTCTAAGACATTATTTTAACAGACAGAATGGCTTTATTCAGTGAAAACAGAAATACATCTCCTAGATCAGGCATGTCCAAACTTGGTCCTGGAGGGCCGGTGTCCTGCAAAGTTTAGTTCCAACCCCAATCAGACACACCTGGGCTAGCTAATTAAGCTCATACTAGACTTTCTAGAAACATCCTTGCAGGTGTGTTAAGGTAAATTGGAGCTAAAATCTGCAGGACACCAGCCCTCCAGGACCAAGTTTGGACAGCCCTGTCCTAGATGTATTTTATCCTGCTTATTACATGGCTACTTGCACACAAAACACAACAGTTCGCCACAAAACCTTGTTCTGAGTTTATTAAGCCTTTAATTAAACGCAAAGCTGACAGAAACGACATCTGATGAAGTATATTGAACTGACCTGCAGATTATCCAGTCACAAGATGGCGCCAAAAAGTAAAAACACAAAGCTGATAGCATAGAGTAAACTACCAATCTATTATTTAGTCACAAGATGGCGCCAAACAATTCAAAACAGTCAAAAGCAGCGGCATGACAGACAAGCAGATAAATATGAATGTAAATATATAGATTTGAACATATTCACTGACGGTCAAGGTTATTACAAGTTCCAGGATGAGTCTGCATTGTTTACAGCAGTGTTTCTCAACCACCATCTCTGCATATTTTCCGTCTTCTTAACCAAACACACCTGATTTTCAGATGATCAGCTCATTAGCAGAAACGGAAACAACTGTAATGGGTGTGAAAGACAAAGGAGACATCCAAAGCATGCAGTGTTGGTGGTCTTCTAGGAACGTGGTAGGGAAACAATGATTTAGAGGTTTTTAACTGCAAAAAAAAAATACCTTGGAATGTCATGACTGAACAATCAGAAGCAAGTATTCCAGATAGCCATGTAATAAACAGATAATTTCCCAGTATTATTGTACCTTGTAATAATATTAAATAATAATATAATAATCCCCAATAGAATACACAAGTAAAGACCTATTGTATTAATGGCTTATGATAATTAATATCAAATCGACCACCAAAAAAATTTAATTTTAACCTTTTTTTCCCCAGCCCTACTTGCGTTATAAAGCCATGCTGACACACTTGAGCTTAACAGCAGCATGAGTTCAACACACACTCTCACCTGTGCTCTCACACACACTCTCAGTGAGCTGTCTGTGAGTTTGTGTCTGTGTCTCAGTCGACAGTGATCTGAAGTGAGGACATCCAAACACATCAGACAGTTTACCTGACTGTGTGTGTGTGTGTGTGTGTGTGTGTGTGTGCGTGTGTGTGTGTGTGTGTGTGTGTGTGTGTGTGTGTGTGTGTGTGTGTGTGTTAGACAAAAAAATTTTGTTAAGTTAATTAGTACTGCTGGAATAAAATTTAAATAAAATGAGATACAATTTAAAAAACAAAATAAATTAAATTAAGTTTAAAAAATTAAATAAAGTGTTGCTAAGTAAATAAGTACAGCTGGAATTAAATGAAAAATAAATAAATAAATAAATAAAGTAACAAAACAAAATAAAAGTAGTTGCTGAGTTAACTAATAATGCTGGAAATTGGAATAAAATAAAACAACAAAAAAATAATAAAATAAAATAAAATAAAATAAAATAAAATAAAATAAAATAAAATAAAATAAAATAAAATAAAATAAAATAAGATAAAATAAAAAGAGTTGCCAAGTTAATTAGTAGTGCAGGAATAAAATAAAATAAAATAAAATAAAATAAAATAAAATAAAATAAAATAAAATAAAATAAAATAAAATAAAATAAAACAAGTTGCCAAGTTAATTAGTAGCGCTGAAATAAAAAAAAATTTAATTAAATAAATAAATAAACTAAAACAATTCATTAAATGATTTGAGTTGAAAATCTGTAACCATAATTATACCATAGTATTTGTTTTTCCTACTATAGAAGTCAGTGATTACATGTTTTCAGCTTTCTACTAAATATCTCCTGCAATAAAATAAACTCATAAAGGTTTAAAATCCCTTGAGGGAGAGTAAATAATGAGTCAATTTTCATTTTCTTGTGAACTATCCCTTTAAGTGCTTATTGCCATGAACACATGTAGACTAATCAGTGGTATTGTATGACAGAGAAACTCACTGCAGCAGGTTGATGGGCAGGAACGGGTTGAAGTTCTCCAGTCCATCCGCCTGCAGGGCAGTAAGGAGGGAGGCTGTGAGGTCATTGGTGGAGGGTGAAGCTGATTGGCCGAAGATGGCTGTGCCCTCAGAGCCATTGCTGTAAAGAGAGACTGAACTGGAGGACTTGGACACCGGCTGAGAGGAAGAGTGAGTCCCAGAATCTATGAAAACAGACACAGAGCAACAAGTAATTAAAATGCAAATTAAATTAGTAAATTAATTAATTTGTAATCAAAAATTTATATAATAGTAATTCCATAAACAAAACTACTACTAAATACAGATGGTATTACTAAAAATGAAAACTATATAAAATTATAAATAAACAGTTATGTCATATTTGTTATTATTATTATTATCATTATTATTATTATTATTAGTAGTAGTAGTAGTATATATTATTATTGTTATTATTGTTATTATTATTAGGTAGAATGCTGAATATTGGTTATTTGTACAACAATTGTGTACAACTACAATATGTATTTAGCATAATAATATTAAAATGAATAAACAACAACAACAATAATAATTTTCAACGTTATTACATTATCAAACAATGATCAAATGATTTTAATTAAAACATGTAAATCAACATAATGATTTACAACAACAATGTTAAAATTATATTAATTATATAAACTCATATTATTGTTGTTATTATTATTATTATTATTATTATTA